GAGCTGGAAATGCATTTGAAATGAAAGTTTGGACGTCCGTTTTGGATCCGAAATGCATTGCAAGCAAACCGAAATGACAGACGAAATGCATTCAGTTGTGCTGGAACTGTTGTCAAAATGCACTTTGACATCCTGTCTTGCAGGTGTTGAATACATCAAATATTGGTTGGAATTATGACAAATGTATTTGGTCACAGCCGAGACCACCATCACAACTCCTTCATCCACTTGTTGTAATTCAGAACGAGACAAGGATAGGACTGAGACTCTTTCTCCGAACACAGTCATCATGGAACCACATGACTGTGCAATGCAACACCACGTCTGCTGCTTTCTTCAACTTGTCTGCAAGGTGGAACATGACAGTGAAGCTCACATGCAACTCTCAATGGGAATCTGCACAATTGTTTTGGTCACGAATCAGGCAGCTGGCTGAATTGATCGAATTACAAATTGAGAATCATTGCTGTGCAAGCATTGCCAATATTGCAGCATGGAGGACAAGCCCCATCAGCTGCGAGGCGGAAGGATTGAGTTTCATGAGCGCTTTGAAGTTGTAGACCTTATCCTCCCACTCTTGTTTTCTTTCTCCAAGCATTGGGCGTGGAACCAGGCAGCTCATCAAGTCAAAAACGACACAGCCATAAAGTGGAGCCGAGTCATCGATCAATCGCTTGTTCATCCGCCAAAGTTTGGCCAGTCGGCGTTCCTGGGCAGCTGCCTCATCGCCCATGTTGCAGCTCGACTTGCTACAAAGAGTGCTCCTCCTCTTGAACCAAAACACTGCAGGAACATTGTGATATTGCGAGTGATGACATTGACATGAAGCAAAAAAAAAAAAAAAACATCAAACAGAACAAGCCAGCATCCACTGAAAATCATGTTTGGAATTGTCACAACATGCTGTAGATTCAATCTGTTTTGCTGGGGGCCGGCCCACTGACGATTTGCATCATCTCCTTAGTACAAGTGCGGGCGCATTTAGGAAAAGAACACACACACACACACACACACACCCAGCTCCACAATGCAAATCTGTGTGCAGGGCTTGTCTGTCTATCACACAAAGCTCTGGATAACAGGGAGTTACAAATCACAAGCACTGGCAAAGATGTGAAGCCTTGCAACACAAAGAGATGTTTTGCCAGCAATGCCACAAGATGCCAGCAGAATCAGTGAAACGGAGTCAATCCTCATCACCTTCTCCATTTAATTCACCACGTTGTTGGGAATCAGCTGTGGACCTCCGTCTGACGTCGTCAAGGGTGGTACGCCTTATATCCGTCTCGTTGTACCAATCCACTATGCACAGTGTGCAATAATGGACTTGGTGTCCCCATTTTGTTATCATGCAAGGTTGATCGTGCATCTCACAATTGAACAAACAGCTTCCTCCACAATCGCGATGACCACCGGGAGACAAAGAAGCTCCTGCTCGGTGTGGACAAAATCGGTTCCCCATTGCAATGGGCGAACCAGCAGCAGCAAGTAGCCCTATTGCAAAGAAGCTTCACTGACTCACTTGACAAACAGTAATGCTGCGAATCAGCACGGACCGACAGGTGACAGTGTCCTATTTAACATTCTGAGAGCACTCAACTGGTCTCCGATCAAGCATGGCACATCTTCCTGAAGAATGGTACACATCACAGACTTTTTGACAAACACGCACACACTCTCTCTGGAACTGTTCTCCTGGTCTGGTCCACACTGCGAAAGCAAGTGACTGAAAAGAAACATTGAAGTGTTTTAGAAACCTCTGCAAGGTCCAAGTTCATTCACTCAGATGAACATCAGATTGAACTTCATCTCGTTGAGATGCTGTGTCACAGCTGACAATTGCTTCCAATTGTGTGACACGATTCCGTAAGGAAATAATGGCTTCATCAGTGCTTGTGTTGAACTCACTCAGCAATCGCCAAAATTGTGGGTTGTTGCCAAATTCAACAAAGCCCGGGCTATTCGATGACACAGCTGATGACTCAGACGCAGGAGATTATGTCGCCACCTCCGCCAAGACCCGCAGAAGAGCGTCGGCACGCTCTGCTCTCCTCTCCAGAACCCTCTCCACTGAATGTTGCGACATGCTGTGCTCACTAAATAGGACTGGCAATACGCTTGAAGCCACACACCTGCAGAATGGTTCAATTCCACTCACATACCAAAGCATTACCGGCAGGTCAAGAAATTTGAACAGGAGACTATACACTGCATTATTTATTGGGACACAATGAAAAAAAAAAACCAATAAGCCAGACTTAATAATCATGCAGAACGGCCTCCCAAACTAACCCAAGGGCCGCCACGGTGTGGGTTCCCACACTCATTGTGGAAGCACTGCCAGCAAGCACATTAGCTCATTGTCCTGCTCAGGTTGCACCCCCACCCTGTTGGCCACAGCAGTGCTGTGCTTATTAGCACAGGCCCTGGGTGCCCCACACCCGGCCAGCGGTGTGAAAGGGTGACTGGAGCGGGTGGTCACCCCTCTTGGTAGGGCCAGACTTCTGCTGCCGAGCTGCACGACTATTAACTCGAACCCATCTGCAGACATGCACAATTTGCCGAACTACACTGTTCTGCCAATTCTGTTTTGCACACACAGACATTCATCAGTGGCAGTGAAACCTTGTCAATCTAAGGATTACTACGAACAATTCTCACAACATGACCTGTGGCATAGCTTGTCACCGGAAAGTAGTATGGCAGATGAATATCACATTGTACAAGATGGAATGTGTCCGGCTTCAGCCACCTGTGGTGAATAGTCCAGAGCTCTGTTGCAATCTTGTACTTGACTCGGTCGATCAAGTCAGTACGCGAAACCACCAAGTGACTCGAATATCCTTGGAAATTGTTCACCCAATCAGGATCCATAACAATATCCACCCGAAAGTTTTGTGCGGCAAAGGTCAGACCCGCTTCTGCAGCCTTTCGCTTTCGCTGTTTCAACATGGCTTCAGTCATGTCATGTGATACTTCGAAAACGATTGTGAAACTGCATTCTGAGCCTGACAGCTCCCAAGACAATTTGCCAACATGCATCCGGGTTTGACAGTCTGAACTAGGCTTGGCTGCTTAGGACACGGCGAAGAAGAGCGTCTGGGTGTCCAGGTCGGAAGAAGCCTGCAGGACAATTGCACTCATTACCTTGAAGGAGAGCTGTGCCATTCCAGATGATGCTCTTTGCACTGACACTGTTTAGTCAGGCAAAGTCCCACTGGATGACTGCCCATACTGTTTCCTCTTGTGATGCTCTGATGGTTTTTGGAGCAATCTCAACAGCACAATCAGATTCTCTAGAGGAACTGACAACATGTGAAACAAACCCAGACAGAGGTCCACACCACCAATCTTGCAGGACTTGAATAGACTTAGACAGCAGATCAAATGCAATATATGAATCAAACACAACAGTTGTGAGTTCTTGGCCCCGGCCAAGTGCTCTTCTCAAGCTGGTTCGCCTCAGACCACAGCAGGAGCTAAATGTTGCTGAAGTGTTTCCACAATTGGGGAGTGTAACACAATTGAGGCAAGTCTTCTCAGCCAAGGCCAAGCAAAAACTGGGGGACTTCATTTCCAGACTTGTCAGTCCCAGTCAGTGAAACTCAATTGTCGTTCAATTGTCATTGTTCACTTGCAGTCGTCTGGCTTCTTCCCGCCAGAGCCGCCATCCATCATCTAAATCTGTCTCATCCACACTCTCACGATCTGTGTCAGGCTCTTCCTCCGGACGATGTGCACGTAGCTCTCTCTCAGCCGCACTGTCAGGATCTGATGCAGGCTCTTCCTGCGGTTCATCTGGAGGAAAAACCCGCCGACCGCGCGTGCCAGGAATGTGCAGAATCTGATGGGTCGGGCGGGTCAGGGAAAAGTGCTCGTTCCGATGGAAATAGCTGCGACGACTTGCGTGGATGATATATGAAGCAAACTCTACCCCGTACTCTTGTGCTTCGTCCCACATGTTGCTCTGGAGCACAACCCAGCTGTCGGCTCTTTCCAGCCTTCGAACATAATCGATATTCCTCTGAGAGTGAACGAGTGTCCTGAGGCAGCGCCGCATCCACCTCCTGACCAGCTCCGGTTCACTCATAACCCAGCATCTGCGAGCACGACGGCAAGTTGTCCGAAAATTGCAAAGGCAGTCCACAGTGAGCAACTCGTGAGTCACATGAAGCCAATAGTAACCATCTTGCAAATTCACTAGATGGTGTACCGACATTGCACCCTCTTGTTTGTTCATATCGTCATGGCGGTCAAGGCGGTTGATTCGCCATCGCACTGGTTGCCACGGATACTCGGGCCTCCAAAGAGGACGATTGACATCATAATGCAAAACATGATCGATCAATATGGGGCGTTCCTGTGGCAAAATTGGCGGATTGTTTGCCCTGAGTCGTCTCATGCGCTCCTCCGCCCAGCCGGACAAAACGTAACCATTGAGATTCGTCCTGTAAAAATGCCTGTTTCTTCTGTTCACTTGCAGTCTCTCCGGCGTGTCGGATCGGTTGGACTCGGACCACGGGGGGAGTGGGCTTCGAGGGCTGCTGGATCTGCTCCTGGAAAAGCGACGCCAATTGAAATTATCATAATTAAACGGCGGCGGCTATGGTGTTTGCTCTGGAGCCCGGGTCACGTCCCCACCGACGGGGTTCGGCCTAGGTTCAGCCTCAGACATCAGATTTGATCGATTTGGAACATTGATTTCTGAAACGTGTGGAATCGGTATTTTGAGCACCTTAGATTTTTCTGACATCAACTCGACCGACGAAGTCCCTCCCCTGGCCTTCCCCCACGGTGCACACTGTGCATTCTCGTTTTTTTGGCTCCTTCAGCTTGTGCGACGTCCCAATTTCAGACTTGAAGCAATAAAGTTATAAGTGCTCATGTGCTTAAAATGGGAATTCTGGGATTTTGGAGTAAGCTGATTGTAACACTCTGACAACCAGGCTGCGACGTCCCATAAATTCAAAAAACTGTGATAGGTTTTCGGGCTTAGAGCAATGGAGGTTGTGTGTTTACCGGAAACTTTCGGTACATCCGACGGCGGCCGTGGCGGCCGTTCCGGTGCGAGGGCTGCCAGAAACAAGCTGCCCCAATGGCTGGTGCTGTATACAGTGCTTGCGAAGGAAAGTGAGCATGCTGAGATCACACATCTGTGCCGTGCCACAGATGTGTTTGAGAATTGGAGCAATGCGACCCCAGCAGAGCTTCATGAAATCCAGCTTTGGAGCGGCTACGGCCAAAGACAGAGGAAGCGTGACCGTGATAGGCAAGCTCAGAAAGAGTTTTTTTGTTTCGTGCTGGATCGTTGCTTTCTGCTCCGGTCGCCGGTGCGATTGAAACGGGAGCAGTTTCAAGGCAGGCAGTTGCAGCGTGTGTCTCGTCCGACCTATGAGGTGTACAAGCTTTTGAGTGAAGAGCCAGGGCAACACTTGATGGCTTGTCCTTCTGGGGGAGATTTGCTCCCAGAGTTGAAGCGGGAGAAAGGGTGGTTGGTGCAGGTCCCACGGGGCCTGGCCGTTCTGTCTCAGACACAGGCAGTGGCCACACCACTGAATCTGTGGATGCCGGGGAGCATGATGGCAGGCTTGCACGTTCAGGTATCCCGTACCCCCTCAGCTCAGCCTCAGGCGGCTCAGGAACTGGAACCGGCAGAGGCAGAGGCGGCAGAGGCAGAGGGGTCAGCAGACGGTGCTGAAGAAGTTCCGGAAGAACGTGCTGCTAAAGCAGCACGTGGAGTCGCTGGAGCTAAGGCCAGATGGAACAAAAGCATTGTGCGTTTGAGCTCCATGCAGGAGATACAAATCGTCAGGTTAAACTTCGCCATGCAGAATGCCAAGGACATTCCTGTCGTTGTGAGCTGCGTGGCCCGTTTCCTGGAGCCGAAGCTAGGGCCCTTCGACCCTGAAGCTCTTCAGCAGATGCTTGAGTCTGTGCCTGGTAAGTACAAACTCCACACCCAAATGCTTCGCCTGGATTGGCTTCACATGCACCACAGAAGATGTCTGATGGCAGAGCAAGCCCTCTGTTCTCACACGTCTGTCAGCAGATTCTTGAGCATGGATGCCAGCCCCCAAGGGGGGTACGAATACTTGGCAATGACAGAGGAAGTTCTTGTGAGAAAGTTGCCGTTCATGCCACCGGCAGACCCATTTAAAGGTTTCTCACACGAATTTAGGTTAATGCCTGTCATGACTTTGGCCAGAGGAGAGGCCAGGACATTTGTCAAGGCCCAAAGGTTGAAGTCTGCAATAATCCTGGAGGCTGGAGAGCCTCATTTCCAGCTTTACAGGAAACAAGTGAAGGGCTGGGTTTCAGATCAAGGAACGGAGCGATTGATACCGGAATGGCCCATAGGCGACGAGGCTGCCATGAAATCCTTAGCAGCATCCTTGAAGGAGGAGGCCACCCTAGAAAACCTGGCTGCTGGCACAAGTGAAGCCTTCCTTTTCAACAGCCTGAAGCATCCAGGGATCCTCCACGTGCTCTTCAATTCACTTGAAGAGTGCTGCAAA